GCTACGTGACCGCTAGCGACACAGCTATGTTAGCATAATATAAACAAGCTAACTTTTTTTCCACTTGATAAAAGTTAACGTGAGTGTTCACGGTGGTCAGGAACAAATGTAATCGCATGGCAGGATGCTGTAAAAGGACCAAACTTCAGCCAGGAGAACAACTGAGATAATCCATCCACAATACGAGGTTAGTCATTCATATACTGCTGCATGGGCTGGGCTGTAGTTACATCCTAAGGTTTTAAAAACTGAGCTTAAATAAATGATTAGCGGTATTAAAAGCCGAGGGAGGTCAACAGTGATCACTGACTGTTTTACGAGCTTTTTGAGATTAAATAGAAGAAAATACAAAACATTAAACATGTTAACAACACAAAAACCATATTAAACGCAGACTACTTTAGGCCCGGAAGTAGGATTCGTCACGTCATCACTTAACGATCGGATTAGAAACACTAGCTCCTGATCTGACTAAATGTATCAGAGTTGCCTTCTTCTCCATAAGGAGATTTACAGATGTGGGCGAAAAAGCAGAAGCAGAAAGCAGAAATCATCAAACTCGGCTGTTTTCTACTTCTGATATGTCAGAATCTACTGGAGCGTAATATTTATTTGCTATTTTGTCAATTGACAGCATTTTGTGTTATTGAAATTTTAGATTATAATAGCGATACATGGAAAGGCCACAGATATCTGAAGAGGAAAATGTGAGACTGAGAATATTGCGCATATTAATTTCATTAGAATTATGTTGAAATATTCTTGTAAAATCTGGGACTGTTTAGTTTCTGAGGTTGCTTACTTGAAGACCACAATTATTATATAAATATCACATTTACAGAAGTACAGTAATGAATAAGCTTGTTCATTTGGTATATGGGAGCATAGTTATGAATAATTTTAATCAGGAAAAAACAAAAACAACAACAGATGTAGTTCTTTGACATAAGTAAAACCAAACAAAATAACATGCTAACACAAGTCTGATTCTTATTCTGGCATTGACTGAATGTTTTTCTTTACCAATTCTACTTTGCAGAGACAGAGACAATGATGAAAAGTGGAGAAATGTCCAATAAAAACGGCATGCACTTATTTACCGGGCACCAAGATATTATATTCAATACTTACGCAGAATGAAGATCTCTGTTGGCGGAGATGTAGGAGGTTTGGGATCTGGAGTATAAAAAAAAGATTCTCTGTTTGCATACAATGCAGAAGCAGGCCTACTTTTAATTTATATTGTCAGATGCTGGCATTTCATATCTTTCTTTTTACACATTTTGGATGATGTCCCAGACAAAAATAAGAGTATTAGACAAAAAACTAACCAAAGTTGAGCTAATATTTAAAGCGCTGATTCGTTCCATTTCTTGCATTTATTGGAACAAGATATGTGTTAGTGTAGGTTATTTTTTTCCACCAACAGCGGTTCTTTTTTCACTGTAGTTGCTGAAAAAGGACAAAAGGACTTTTCCTGCTAAATAAAGAGCAGAGTTTTTTTCATCTTGGTGCTTTTAAACAGGCCATGAGGGATGGATCTGACTAAAAAAAAAAACCAAGGGATACTGCACATTCACACAGTAGTGACATTCCACTTTTTTGGCTAAACTAAAATATTTACTCTTAAATTCTGATCACATATTTAACTGGGCCATCCCATACCTCAACCATAGCTACACTGGCCTCGCACAGAAAAAGCAAAGCACAAAACAGCAATGATGACGATGTTAAGTAACATTGAAATACACACCTTTGCAGTCCTCAGCTCTGACTCCATCCATGATCTGGATGTTGTCCACAGCTATGTAGCCTAAGCTGCGTCGGTCTGCGATGCCTTCCACCACCACCTGCAAAAAACAACACAAAGTCTTTCACATGTATTTTCTCATACAGGACGACAAAAAGAGAAAGTTAATCATCCAGAAACTTTGCTGTATATAAGTTTTTTTGTTTTTTGTTTTTTTTTTGGCTAAATTGTTACGGTGCAAACTGTAATCCCAACATCCAGAATTTATTCTTTTGTTCCAAATCATACCTTTCTTTCTCTGCCCTTAACATACTTTCTGTTTGCACATAATGAAGGCAAAAATAACCCCGAAAATCCATCCTAATGGTGAGCCTATAAGGAAAGAATGTTCTGACTTAGGACTGACTTGTCTTATAGTTATCAGTAGTAGTGAATTTACAATCTCTCCCTGCTGTCATTTTAAGAGTCATTACATCCAGATTTACATTACCTGATAGGGGATGCTTGAGCGTGGCAGTATAACTCGTCCCTCCCTCCACCGACTGCCCTGATGGCCACTGAGCGTCCACAGGATCTGCCCCTCCTCTGTCTCCTTCCTGTGTTTGATGTGAAGCGCTCCTGCGTGTTCACCAACCATGTGATACCAGAACGCCATGCACAGGTCAGAGTCTGGAGAGGTGATGGGCAGGCTGGCCAACCTCGCCACCTTCTCTTCTTTGTCCTCATCTTCACCAGTTTTACTCGGTGTGTCCGAGTCAGTCACCTGCACGTAAATGAAGTTCCCAGGTTGGCCTGCAGGGGGCAGCAGAAGACAAGGTAAGAGGTGATTGTGACATTAGAGGACTCCTGAAAGCTTTTCCAATGCCTTACTGCTGATATTATTCTTTTAAATACATCCCTGAATGTAAATATGCTGATATCTATACATCTTTAATGAATGCACGCCTTAATATGACTGAGCGCAAACATCAGTGTGACAATAAAGGACTTATAAGTCTCCCAAGCCTTCATTACAGTACATTCATTTGACTGCATTCAGCTGATTACCTTCCTTGTGGTTTGTCTAAACATTTAACTGTCTTTTCATAAAGCGAGTACTTGATAATGTCTGTGATACTGCTTAGCATCAAGCTTTCGAAACCTCCACAGACATCAGATTCAAGGACCTCACAAGGTTTTCTCGTGAAAACAAAGAGCTCTCGCTTCAGGAGAAAAATCTGACTTGACATCAGAAAATACTCATTTTTTATTAGTGATCTGGTTAAGTCAAGAAATCAAGGTGAAATCATTCATTTCAGAGCTGCTGCTACTGCTGCTCCCGTCTCCACAGAAACATCCATCACATCCATCAAGCTTGAATGGAGAGAAGGACAGAGAGCCGAGACATGTTGATGAATTATAGTGATATACGTCTTTTAAAAGTCAAGGATTTCAAGTCGGTTCGTTCCTTCTTCAAATTGTATTACAGCACATAACATTGAAATATGCCCATACAAACATATGTTTTGTTAGAAAAAAGCACAAGATGCAATTGCATCTTTTGTTCTTAAAAAACAAAGCAAAACAAAAATAAGTTGATTTAAATTCACTCCATCTCTTCTTATCTTTTTCAAACATGGCTACTATTTTTGGGTTTCTTCCACTGTCTCATAACAGCAACCTTTCAACTAGAAGATAATTTTTTTTGAAGAGGAAGAAGCTGCAGGCAAACATTCTGGTGAGTAGTAAGCAACAATTTTGTTGGTGCAGCCAGAATACTCTCACTGTGTATGCACACGATGACATGCACAACAATTTGGACCATTTTTGACAACTCTTCTCCATCAAACCCATCAGGAAGCTACAGCAGAACAGCATGCTTCTGATTCTGCTTATGATTACATCCTCTGCTTTCAGCTGTGAACACTCTGGACTGTTCCATTGTAAAACCCGGTGAGAGATGTTGCCCTCACCAGGAAATGGTCCTTATTGGGAAGGTTGGGTCAGTTCAGATCCAGAAAATGTTTGCCGGCTGTGCTCCATGATGAGTATAGTTTTGATATTTATGGATGGGTTACTGCCTTAAGTGCAGAAGTTCAAGCATCTCAGCGTTTTGGAGGTGGGAGGTTGAGTTATTTTCCCACCCACACCTGGGGCCAGAAGGTGCTGGTAGTGACCAAAAGAATAAGCTCTTGGATGCAAGCAGTGAAAGTGAGATTCCTTCTGAGGGTGTGTGGTCACAACCTTGGGATAACGGTCATTTGGTCAGTTGGTCAGTTGTTTGCGCTTCGCAAGGTGACCAAAACAAAGAAATTTGGGCATCTCTGCCTAGACTTCTGCCAAATACACTTTACAGGGTGGACAGATAATTACAGTAATTATTATCCAAATATGTCCTTTCGAACCTTACAGGGACTTAACATTGTGGCATGAGTGAGTGGCTTGAGCCTTTTCATGTGTATAACAGCTCATAGAGCATCAGGCCTACTTAGCTTTGTGATATATTTCCATATTCACAAAGTTTTTGTCCTTCAAAGCAAGAACAAGGTTGGGTGTCCAGTGGGAATTTCTTTTTACATCATAGGCATGTTTTTCCTCATTTCTTTAAACAGAAAAAAAGGCAGAGTTGTGAATTTACAGCAGCACGGGGACTGTATAGTGTTATTTAAAGCTTTGTTGAAAATATTCCCATTTCTAGCACAAGAGGTTTCAACAGACTTTTCAGCAGATGCACAGTAACATCGAGAGCTACGGAGCACTCTCCCAAAGCATCTGTCGAGTGCCACTAGTTCAAAGAAAGAGAGAAAAAAAAAAAAAGCACTCATCACCTACCCATGTGGTCAAGGGGTGGTCCTCTGTGGACAGCGGGAGCCCCGTTGGCCTGGATGATCCACTCAGCTCCCGTACCGGTCTCTCTGGTCCAGCCGCAGAACGACGAGAAGTCAAAGTTACAGGCGAACCACAAGTAAGCTGTAGCAAAGAGACACAAAAACACTCCTAAAAATCTCGTATCTACAAAATATAACTGAAAATTTTCCCGGTAATCAATAATCAGCTATTAGTAAGCACAGTTTTTGTGAGTTCAGTCCTAGGCTACGTCCACACGTACACGGGTATTTTTGAAAACGGAGATTTTCCGTTTTTGTTTTAAAAAATAATCCCGTCCACACGTAAACGCAGAAATGAAGGAAAACGCTGCTAGGAACATGCCAAAGCAACAGGTGGCGATATATTCCTAACCGTGCAGAAATGTTGGCCAATCAGAAGTCTAGAAGCCTCGGTGGGAAAAAGTAAACAAAGCTGGGGCATAGAAGCAGAACCATGTGTGGAGGGACAGTAACTGTGTGTGTATATGTAAGCATTTAAACACTGCAGAGAGTACAATTAACAGTAACAGTATTGTAGAAATTCATTTCACTGAAACAATAACGTGGCGCACAGTGTGACGTCAAAAAATGCGCACACCTTTGACGCTGCGTTTTCTGTGTTTTCTCCGTTTTTCTCGTCCACACGTAAATGCAAAAACGGAGTTTTAGAAAATATCCACCCTGGCCGGAGTTTTTAAAAATCTCCGTTTTCAGTGACCAAAAACGCCGTTTACGTGTGGACGAAAGGTGCAAACACATAGAAAAATCTGCGTTTTCAAAAATACCCGGGTACGTGTGGACATAGCCCTAGTCTTGGAAGGTCCTCTATTCAATTTAATTTAATTCAATTCAATTTTATTTATATAGCGCCAAATTACAACAGCAGTCCCTCAATCTAAGGCAATATATATTGTAAGGTAGACCCTACAATAATACATACAGAGAATAAACCCAACAATCATATGACCCCCTGTGAACAAGCACTTTGGCGACAGTGGGAAGGAAAAACTCCCTTTTAACAGGAAGAAGCGTGTCTTAACTATATTTATTTCTATCTTTGCTAGTACATCAAGCACTTTAAAGACAACCTTAAGGAAACAGTAGCCCTTGATTTGAAAAACCAAATACTGAAGTAAACAGCTCCTATCTGCTCCTGTAAACCCTTCCTGAGAACTGAATCAAGTCCCTGAAAAGCTGCTATGCGACAAACTGCTTAGGTTTTTAAGTGAAGAGGCGTACAGCTACGATCTGGTGCTGTGTTCACTGACCAATCAGTGTCATTCAGGAGGAGGTAAGGGGAGATGGCCTGAAAAAAAGGACAGCAAGTCTCATAGCATTCCTATCAGGAAGCTGTTCCTGCTGTTGTGTGCTCTCCGAGTATAAATTGTGCAGCCTACAAAAGGCTTGTGCAGATGGGATGTGGTGAGACAAACAGAGAGACCGTTGTGACTGTATGTACAATGTGCAGCGCTGGAGGGCATTTTTCTCCACATCCTCAGCAAGATGTCAGCCCTGATAGAAAACAGTACCAAGCACGTACATATGTTTGGGATCAGCACTTTAGGAGAGAGAAACCGAAGAGTGGAGGGACCACGGAGCAGGGCGCGGTGCCACCAACATCAACGGATGTGGCCCCCTTAAAAACTCAAACAGAAAAAACCCTCCCTTTTTCCTCTGCCTCTGCCAGCAGTCGACGGGCAGTATCGCTTCACCGCAGCATCCAAATAAATGCAAAAATCTCTCAACAGTGGACATGTTTCTGAGAGGCTAATAGGATGCAGAGATGACCATGGAGCTACACAGTAATACCCACCTTACCCACCCACCCACCACCCAGCAACCCCAAGCTGTCTTCACGCGATGCTTCAGCTCAGCTAATTGAGACCCAAGAGGCCTTTATTCTTCCTCCGCTGCTCTCACTTCACCTCCCTCTGTTCCTCTCTTTTACCTGCACTCTCCCTTTCTCTTTTAGCCTCTTTATCCTCCTCACCCAGCCTCCCCCCCCCCGCTTTATTTCTTTTCCCCCCCGTCAGAGCTGCCATTTTTTAAACCTTTCTGCCTATTCATTCCTCTTCTTCTCAGCCTGTTTGCTCCAAATGAGTTGAATTCGGTGTACTCACAAGGGAGGGTGAACTGTGATGTGGTGCTAAAATGTTCACCCAGAAAAGAAAGCCATAAATGACCAAAACAGAGCGCTGCAGTTGGCTTTAAATGCATGTGCATCAATGTTTAACACCTGCAGTTTTTTCTATCTCACGAGTCTAACGCCACTCGCTTTTCTGCTGTTGTTTCCACATCTGTAAAGTGCAGTTTTATTTCAACCTCTGACACGCTTAGAAAGTTTTAAGTTGTTTCTTTATAACAAAACGCTATTTAAACGTTTCCAGTGGGGTTTAAGAGAAATCTGCAGGGAAAGGAACATGAAAAAAAATGACATTTCTGCACAAATATCTTGACTTTTTTTTTCCTATTTTCTTTCCTTCTTTCCTTTCCTTTATCCTTCCCCTTGCTGTTGAAACCTTTAGAAACCTTTTCATCGATGTAAGAAGATTTAACCCAGAGAAATATATAGCGATGGCACCTCAAGAATCAGACTATAGAAATCTACTAGCGAATCCAGTACCAGTAAAAGCAGTGGATGCCCCACCCATATGTCCAGCATAGCTTAAAATGTTCTATTCTTGAGTTTTAACTATTTCTTTTATGATTTTTCAATATATTTATTAATTTTTGGTGTACAGCAGTGTACAGTGTAAAGAAAACTTTGATTAAACAGATTTTTTGTGTTACATTTAAAAACTGAGCATAGAGACGAGCTACAAATACAAGCTCAGCTGGTATCCTGATCAGCTGATAGCCTTCCAGTTGCATCTAGCTGGCAGATGTGGCGCAGCATTTAAGCTTGCCTACAGGTGTTGTGCATCTTCAAGCCTCCGCGATCTGTGCTGTGCAAATTACTACACAGGGAAATAATCGTCTTTTGACTACAGCTGGTCTGGCATCAAAGATGAAAAACACTGACGAAAAAAAAAGCTTCGCTCTCTCTTCCACTCTCTCCCTCTCTGTAAATATATAACCTAATAGCACGTGTGTCTGTTCTGTCTCTCTCTGTAGTCCACTAGTGTCAGCGGTCAGCAGTGTCAGGTTCATTTGTGAAGTGGGGCCATGAAAAAGCTATTAACTCTAATGGAGGTCAGCTTCATTGTTCTTCGCGACCGTGGTCAGTACCGTTAGTGACACTGAATAATGGGTCCATTGGCTGAATTAATGCACCGATCTGGCAAAGCAGCGCTTTCACATCTACAGCTGCCTGTAAAATGGTTCAACTTTGCTTTAAATGAAACACATTGTACGGGGAAACATGGGAGCAGATTGGGGCGGAAA